AAATAAATCTTTTTGTTATATTTTGAAACCTGCCTGCACCCTGGGTCTGTCCCGTCACCAAACTCGATAATTCAATACTTTTTCCCTGTGCCATTCCACATTATTACAAATAACTTCATTTCTGGACATTTATGGTTTGATTTCTTTATATGTATGGATCACTTGGGTTGTTACCGACATCTGGTGAAAATTTCATGTCATTAACACCTCTAGTAATATATTTACTGAGAAAAATGGTGATGTGTTCAATACTTATTTTACCCGCTGTATCTTAAACCTTGAATTACATCAAAAATGCAATAAAAACACACATTCTGCTTCAATTTTTCATAACAAAATAATGAAAAATTGTGACCTGCCTACAAAAAAAGCAGCATAAAATAATGTGATACGATTTTGATGCGAAAAAATTAAACCTTCCTATTTTCTTCTGTCCCACATCTTCAATTCTTTTGCTTTAGGCTTTGTAACGCCACAATGTCGATCTGATGGCATTACAGTTAATAATGAAGTGGATTATGATGATGATGCTAATGATGCTGATGCTGTCAATGGGTGTAAAAACAGAAGAGCAAGATGGTGCAGATGATACAACTATTCATGATGACAGTGATGATATTCAGTGACCATTAGCATAATAAAACCAGACACATGATGCAGAAAAAAGGGAGGGGAATGAAGGATGAAGAGGAGCAGCACAAAATTCTGAAACAAAGAAAACTCATTTAACAAAGTCTTAGATTTCTGTGATAAAGGACAGATGTGTTAGCTAAAATGGTTAAATTAAAATATAGACATTTCAGTGAGGTGAAGTCTCGACAGTGAAAATCTAAAAAGATGCCTTCAACACTTTTAAATCAACAAGCTTATTTCACTCAACACAGGAAACTGTAACAGAGACATCTCATTGGAAATTTAAAGGATTCTGTAAGAAAGAGCTCAGAGAGCTTCTTCATGTGTTATCCCACAATACAAAGTGCAAAGTAACATTTTCTGCAGTGATACAAGACAAAACTGGATTGTTTCATATATGATAATGAAACTTTGAGGTAATATTTTGCTTTAAAAAGCCACAAAGCATAAACATACAGGATGATAATCTGATGTGACATCAGCATCTTTGTGTATCTGCAGTTTCCAGATTCTCCACATTCACCTGTTTGTCCTTCTGACTATCTCTAAATGGCAGATTATCATAATGATGTTGAAAAAAATAAAAGAAAAACACAATTACTCACCACTGCAGTGACATGTGGGCTGTTCTGTTTGACCAGTTTGATAAGATTCAGGTCATTGTAAAGCAAGTTCTCCAGGCAGCCCTGAAAGTTCCTGTTCGGCAGGATGGGTTTCTGCAGCCCGTGGTTCTGGGCAGCTCCGGCACTCAACTGAGCAAGATAAGGACAAACAAAAGGTAATAAAACTACTTTAAATCTTTCAAAACGTAAACAGATGTAAACATATGAATAAACTATAAGATAGGCATTTTTGATCAATTCAGTGCAAATAACTTCAGAGGAGGATTCTTAAAATATCTTTCTTCTCACCGTATGAATGTGCCAGTGGCTGAGCTCAGCTGGAACGTGAACTTGCTGTGTGTTTTTATCCACAGTCAGATTGAGGTGGGTGCTGATCCGTTCCAGCTTTACGTGGTGCCAGTGCTGGTCATCGAGCAGACTTCCCAGAGAAACAAGAAGTTTACCACAAGAAGCTGAGCTCACACCTGCAACACAGACAGTGGGTTAGGAAGAGACCACTACTCTTCAAAAATAATAATAAAACTTTTGACTGACATAATGTCTGCAAGAAAAAAATTATTTTAAGTGGACATGTCATGCTTTTCAATCCTTTTCACATTTAAATTATTCAGTTGGGGTCTTTATAACGTGAAACTGCAATACTTTGGTCTGAATTCCTCATTGTAACTCCACCAGCCCCTCTTCTACCCCTTTTCTGGTGTGCACCTCAAAGCAGCTGGTTATACTGTTTCTTTAAGGCACTTCAAGCCCCGCCCCCCTCCTGCTTCAAGACCAGTCCACTCCAGTTTGAAGGGGGGGGGGGGGTACATTTTCTAGATTTCAGAAACATTTTATTTACAATATAAAGATGTCCACACAGCACCAGGAGAGACTAAATTCAAATTTTCTGCACTAGACATTCCAAGTCCACAACAAAATCTATTTAACAAGTAAAAATGTAGATTTTTCAGCATATGTCCCTTTTAAGACTGAATCATAACTGCAGGTTTTGTTGAGTTTTTAAGTTGACTCTGTAGTAAAGTTAGAAGATGTGGTCCAAGGAAGAAAAACTGGACACATGATTGTGTGCCTTATGGTCAGCCCATAATGGTTAATACTGCAAGGGCATAACTTAAGTGGACAGTTTTACACAATAAGACTCCCTTTTATAGTTGTGGATATGTACAGGGTGGGCCATTTATATGGATACACCTAAAAAAGTGGGAATAGTTGGTGATATTAACTTCCTGTTTGTGGCACGTTAGTATTTTGGATGGGGGAAAATTTTCAAGAAAGGTAGTGACCATGGTGGCCATTTTGAAATCGGACATTTTGGATTCAATTTTAGTTTTCTTAATGGGAAGAGAGTCATGTGACATATCAAACTTATCGAGAATTTCACAAGAAAAACAATGGTATGCTTGGTTTTAACATAACTTTATTCTTTCATGAGTTATTTGCAAGTTTACAATTATAATACAGTATTACAGTACAATATTATATGTAAAATATGTGTTTCCAATATATTTTTGTACTTACAAGGTAGAAACCTGGTCTGAAATGTTTAATAAGCACCTTTTAATGTAATATGTACATCAAAATATTTGGCTCACTATTTTGCAAGAAACCAGACAGTTTTGTCTCTTTCTCGTCCTTAAATAAATCATTAATAAATGTTTATTAAGCATTATTTAAGTGTTTACAGATGCATTAAACAGAATCAGGTTTATTGGCCAAGTATGTTTACAAAGAATTTGCAGTTTAGAATATCCATCCGGAGAGAAACACACAACGTGGGAGAACGAATGTCCACGGTCATTCGCAACAACGTGCGCTACCTTACAGTTTAGAATACACACACATAGGAAGGATGAGTTTAAAAAAGAGCTTTGATCTTGTGTTTTATAAACAGAAAACACATGAGCATCACACAAAAAAACCACTCTGCAGATAGGAGCAGAGGCAGCTGAGCGGGGGGGAGGGGGGGCAAATATGGACATGGGAAGGGATTACATAGGAACCGGTGACATCAAGGACAAAGTGCCGGGACCAATCAGAGACCTCCAGAGTCCAACCAGTTGTTATCAATCGAACACAGTTCACCAGAGTTCAGTTCTCTGTTCAGAGTTCAGTTCTCTGTTCCACCCAACGTGGCCTCGGACTGAGACCAGACACAAGTGGGGGGTTGGGGAAAGGGAGGGGGGAGAATCAAGGCTTCCACCCACACACATATCATCCAGGGAGTTTTTAATCAGCCTGTGACGTTATATCTGTGGGGATCCAATGATGGAATAAATTCTTTAGAGCAACAGCAGACTTCTTTCCTCCACTGCTTTAAAGTCTTAACGGAGCCTCTGTGTTGCGAAAATGCCAATATTCCAGATTAGTTGCCATCTCGCCTCTCCCATATGAACTTCACCCAGATGTTGCCCTCACTCCTCGCACCGCTGGGCTGCAATCCTAGTTAGAACCACATCCAGTTTGCGATTCAACTCTCCCACCATTTGAGTCTGTGCGTTCACAGTATGAGAGGTTTCATCCACGGACACAGAGAGCTTCTCACAAGACCGAATCGCCGTCAGTGCCGTTCTCATTTTCCGATAAACCAGAACTCCTCCACAGCCGATCAGCAGGAATCTGATTATCATAAATCCAAATATGAAAACATCTTCGACGTCTTCAACGGAGAGAGGTGCCAGGCAGATCAGGTTCCAACCCCCTCAGCTGGCTGAAACTCACCCTGCAGTCGCAGTTCCACTAGGACAAGAGCTCTCCCCATGCTCTAATCTCAGAGTGGAGAAAATGGTATCAATTGCATTCAGAGACCAGTTGACCAGATCCATAGTTCTTTTGTTGTCGAATGATAGGTAGAAGAAAGGCTTGATCTGGCAGCGAAGCAGGGAAAAGTAGGGAGGTGCAGGAGAAAGAGCAAAAGCGTCCAGCTCCTCCGAAGGCCAAGCAGAAAAAACCCATCTAAGCCATCTGTGGGAGTCTTATTATAAACTGAAAAAAGTCATTGCTGGTTGGTTTCAAAAGAGGTGTTGGAACACCTTGGTGCACAGAGATGGTTTGCATTGAAGGCTAAGTCACCAGACTGCTCAGGTTGGGCATGTGAGCTTCATCAGACCCTCTTCCCCCCCCCCCCCCCCCCCCCCCCCCGTCCTTCCTTCTATTAAAGTTGTGAATCTAATCCACCCAAACACAGCTGTGTCACTCTGTAAGAACGATGTGATTTAACCAGACGTACTAGACTAATACATACTGTTCTGCTGCTTAGCACATGCACCTATTGTTCTATACGTCCCCCCCCCCCCCCCCC